TCCATTTTTAACCACTTCTTCCAATTCAGGGTCACAGAGGAGCCAAGACTACTGTATCTCAGCAAGCGATGGGCAAAAGGCAGAGTATATCCTGGACAGACAGACAAGACACTCAGACCTATGGCCAATTTTCCCAGAAGCCAATTAACCTACCAGAATGTTTTTGGACTATAGGAAGTACCTGGAGGAAATCCATGCAAACATAGGGAGAACATACAAAATCCATACAGACAGCACCCCAGGTCCAGAATTGAACCTAGGGCCTCAATGCTGTGAGGCAGCAATGCTAGACACAGCACCATCATTCCGCCCTAATTTGTGCTACAATGATTTCCAAAGTTAAAATTTTAGCAATTGAAACCCTTTTAAAGTCTCACACTTTTCAATATGTGTTCTTTTTCTGTACACTGACATAAACTATCCTGTCAATATTGGGCAAACTCCTAAAATGTTTAAAGGTTATAGAATCTGTACCTGCTTTGTATTGGCGGGTTAGATTTTAGTGTGACACTGTGGTCCATTTAATGGGTGATAAAATCAGGGGTCTCTCAAAGTTAGCAACAGTGGCACAAATGTAAGTTACGTTTAGGAACAATAAACACACAAAACAGGAGACACTTCTTTACACAGAGTATTTTGGGGAAACTCCCAGATCAAGCGGAAGTTGTCCCCTGCTTCTGTCCTGCAGGAATCAAATGGTTGGAATTCTTAAATAATTCAGCTACAAGCAGACAAACAAACAAGGTCCAGTAGCCTCCTCTTCTATGTAATCGTTCTGAAGTTGTGTCTGTCTGGGTCAACATTTGAACAGTATCGGAAAATAAAGTTTGCAAATGAGAGATCATTTACTGTGGCGTATTCCAAACACTGTATTTTGATTCATATTTCTCTAAATGTATTCAATAGAAAAAGAACAATCCTGAACCAGACCTTGGTTCCTTGGGGAAGCCAGGGGGCATTTGAGTGTACAGATGGCACCTACCAGAGAAACACAGGGGTACTGAGATTCTCACAACATGGTAGTTAAAACGAGCCTGAGGTAAAACATCAAAATGTTACATTTCTATTTAAAAGGAAGTAGAAGTATTTTTTCTAAGATTTCCAAGAAAACTGGGTAAACATGGACTTAATGTGGAAAGGCCATGGCTTGCTCAAAAGATCCTAAACTTGGTACAGTACAGTAAGTACAGTAATTGTGCTATGTACTGTATAATTGTAATTCAAGCAGGTACTGTAGCTGCGTCAGCATGCGTAGGTTGCAAAGGAACAGTAAAGGTTTATTTCATACTGAAAAGAGGAGAAAAGAAACACAACGTTTCGATCTTTACGTGTTCCTATGTACTGTATAATTCTGCTATGTACAGTATATGAGTTTGGCTCGGTGGGATATAGGATATAGGAAGGCTTATTTCCCGAACATACTTTGTTTTGATTCGGACAAGCTGATGTGAATTTCAAAGCATCTGCTAAAAAGAAGAAAATGCTGTGCTGTGGGCAACTTCAGGCTTTTCACAGAAGAAGTCATGAAGGTCTGCTTACTGAAGGAATTCAGGCTGCTTGTCACTTCACTGTCTCATCAGTCAGAGAGAAGCAGTGATCCATAAAGAGCAAGATGCTTTTGGTATACTGTGTACAGCATGCTAATGGCCTTCACCGACACGTTATAAGACATACTGTTTAACGTCTTTAAACTCCCAAAAGACCTTATCTGTGTGATTAGTGCATATAGTGCTGATGAAAATAGCATGTTCACATTCTTATTAGTTTTGGATCAAGTGAGAGAATGTAAACATTTGTAACATAAACATGGTAAGACTGTAGGTTGGACTGGGTTTACACTACAAAATTCATTTACAGTCATTAATTATTGATTGTTCTGGGCTAGAAAATGTAGAACATGTATGCATTGGAACTCCTTGTGCTTTTATTAATTTCTCTACCCCTTAACTCCTCAGTCTCCATATAGTATGTGTTTAATATTGAAGATTGTTATTTATGGCTAAAGCATATACTGTATTCTGTAGTATTCAAGAGGTTTCCCTAGGCTCTGAAGCAGGGCGAAGAGTTTTTCATTTCTGCCTGACTACTATACATTTTGTAGTAGTTCAGGTGGGTAGCTGCGTCAGCATGCGTAGGCTGCAAAGGAACAAGTAATAGGTTTATTCCATGCTGAAAAAAAGAAAAGAGAAAACACAACGCTTCGGCCGTGGAGCCTTCTGAAGGCTTCCATGCACACCCGAAGAAGACTCCACGGCCGAAACGTTATGTTTTCTCTTTTCTTTTTTTTCAGCATGGAATAAACCTATTAGTTGTTCCTTTACTGTACATTTTGTCTTCATGAAGACTGTTGTTGTCTATAAGCCATGCAGAATATGGGAAAACTAACTAGTTTGGAGTTTTTAGGCCATTTACTCCTGTTTTGTGGCCTGTCTTATTAAAGACTTGATTAGAAATTTCAAGTGTTTTCTAATTATCACTGCAGAGACTATCATGACAGAAAGGTCATAATACTCATGGATCTGGCGGATTGTTATGATGTAATCATTCCCTAATTATTGAACTTGAACCTCAGTGGTGATGAAATGGAAATTAGTTTCCATTATAATACTTAATCAAAGCAATCCTTAAAGCTACCCTGCCTAGTATAAATGTTTGAAGAAGAGTGGTTACTTTCCTTGTGTGTGCCATTGCCAATAACTTTCATTTTATTTGTTTAAAAATACTGGAAACAATACTGAAGGATGAAATGAACTTTGAAACTATTAAAATAAATTGTGTACTAGGGCCACTTCAGTGTTTTAAAATACAATTTATTATATGACAATATTTGTTGAACAAATTAATATAAAAGGCTATAGTTGTGATGATTTTATATAGGTATGTGTTTCACCCGATTTGAATTAATGCCTGAGAATCTTTTCTTTTCCATTAGTGAGTTCAGGTCCCTTTTTCCCCCTCATAATAGGCTTTCCATTTTACCACTCTCTGCACCTTATGTACAATAATTGGGCTTTAAAATTTAATTACTCAGGAGCTGTGGGACCAAAAAGATAGAGACAAGCACATTGTATTGTGGCACACACTGGGAACCATTAATGTTTTTTTATTCAGAATAGATTTCTTTCAAATTGGCTGATGGAAATATTGGCACTGACGAACCACAGGTCCCTGAGTTTTTCACATGGAGAAGCCATGCTGCATTATTGTAAAATAGTAATTGTAAAATGAGAAAATCCGATAAAGGTAATTTTTAGCTCTGTACTTAACCAAATCTGAAAAAATCTATCAAAAAGAAGTTCTCATTTTCAGCAAAGACCTGGAGACCCATTTAAACAGCAGGGCATTTATTGAATCAATCTGAGTGAAGTACTTTGCTCAAGACTACAACAGCAGCTCTGCACCTTGGATTTGAACCCAGGCCTCGTTCTTTGTACTTTGTAATATGTTTTTAAAATAAAATGTTTTTTAGATTGTTTTAGGTATGTTAAGGACATCACTAAAATCACATATAGTCCGTATACGATTTTAGTGATGTCCTTAGCATTAAATGTCAATTAAATGCATTTATAATTGAGGGCTTATGTGACAAAAGGAACCATATGCTTTTGGATCATGTTTTCTCTCTCAAACTGTATCCTAATGAATAACCCTTGGTTAAAGTTTTGGCAGCAAATTAATTCCTGAACAAAATAGTCCCATATTTACTGCTATACAGGTTTGAAGTCTTTTTGTTGCCTAGAAGTCTAAACCTTTCAATGTCGAGATAAGCAGATCACAGCAGTGTCCTCAGAATGTTTTTCATGTGGGCTGTGCTTTATTCATTACAAACTGTTCTCTGTTCTCTTTAGTTGAAACTTCTAAAAAATATTTGCTTCAGTATTAAGACTCTTGGTTCCCCCATGGAAAGAGACAACAAAATTACTGTAATGGAGGTTGATACCAACTGATGTCCTACCTCTGTTATAGTTTATTGAGGGACTCTGGCTATTGGCTGTAGTGAAATTGTCCTGATTTGTCTTGGACATAACATTTAGTCATCAAAGTATTATGCGTATTGTACTCAAGGGCTCTCCTACATCTTTTCATTTATCAGGGTATGGCTAATTTGTAACAAGTCAATAGTTAAATACTGTACACTACACCAGCATACATTTAGCTTGTGGTGTGTGGTTTGTACAAGTCTCTTGAGGTGCACTTTAAGAGGACAGAACCTGATAACTGTCGAAGACAGGGAAGATATCTGGTATTTTACAAATTACAAATAAGACTCAATCTGGGAGAGTACCTGGGACTCTAAAGGAGGAGAATTCTGGACTTTTGTGTTTAACTTTGGAAATGCAATTTAATTATTCCCAAGGCAGAGAGAGACATTGATAAATGCATGAATAATGATTTTGACACATATACCACGTGAAAGCTGTCACAGTGCTGGCCCAGTCTCTATGATGAGGTAATACTGTATATTAGAAGAGAGCATCCACAGGTGTATTGTGTATGTAACAACAAACAGAATAAGGGCTTTGAGTGTTTAATGGCTGATGTTGTTTTCATTGTGGACTTCCAATCTTAATTTGGTTATAAAACAGATTAGACCATTTCACCTTTCCATGTTCAAGGTTTCCTATAAATCACTATAACGCTTGCTCATAGATGTACATTCCATACATAAGAAACTCAAAATAGACTATTTTTGTTTAATTATGTATTTATGCAATACCGGCTGTTATAACCCCCAAATACCAAATACCGTGTGTACACCTCTAACAGGTAATAACTGTTGTAAACTAAACTAAACTAAAACCTGTGAATGCTACTAGAAGCCAAACAGACCATCAGTTCGTAATTGCTATAGCAATTTATTTCTTTATCTATTTACATAGCGATAAGAATTTAATGACGGATTTCCAATGAGGGGAAAAACAACTCCACAATCCAGCGTTTTGTGACTCAGAATGTATCTACCTATGTTACGTTTATGATCTATTGCGTTCATTTTGCAGTATGAGTTCAAGGCCAAGAATATCAAGAAGAAGAAAGTGAGCATTGTGGTGTCGGTGGACGGGGTCAAAGTGATCCTGAGAAAGAAACAGAAGGTAGGCCTGAGAAACAGGAGGTCCTGACTCTCCACTGTCATTAAAAAGGGTGTTTCTCTAAAAGAGTAGGGGTGTTAACCCGGGTATCCAGACCGAATTTCCCCCTGGCCTTTACCAATCATGGCCTCCTGATAATTTTTGTCCCCTGGCCTCTTAAACATTTTTGAATTGGCTTCATCACTGGCGCACTTTGACTGCAGTTGCGTCATCCAGGTGTTGGCTACACATTATCTGTAAAGCACTTTGAGAGAAGTGTCCGGAAAAGCACTATATAAGTATAAGGAATTATTATTATTAGACTAAAGCCCAGAGGGTTGTCTTTTTGTCCTAGGTTATATTCCACAAAGATAAAAAAAACTCAGCAATAAAATAATCTCACACCTGATCTAACCTTACAGAAGCTTCTCGGTTTCTTTTGACACTCAAACCTCCTGTAGTCTCTGTTTATTCCCACACTTGCGCCATCTACTTGTCCAGCCTTAGCTACTGTTTTTTTTTCTGTATCTGTTTTCTCTTGTCCTTGCGCAGTGTGTTTAACAGTATCTTTTTAATTCTTTACGGCAGAGGAAAGAATGGACATGGGATGAGAGCAAGATGTTGGTGATGCATGACCCTATTTACAGGCAGGTGGCTTAATTGACATTTCCCTTTCTATCCCATTTCTCCCCTCATTACCACATCGATAAGCAAACAAACACATCAGTAACAAATCAGTCTCTTCCTGTTGATACTTCCAACCCGTTTTATTGACTAAGGGTATGACCATGAAATTCAAGTAACACCCTCAATTTAAATACAATCACTTTATTTCTGTTCTAGTATATAAAATAGTCAGTACAGTCCTCTGCATACAGACTAGTTTTGCATATAGTCCATGAATTACGTAGATATTTCTGTATCTGAATATATAATATAAATATTAATTATTTAGAATAATCTGGCTTTACTGTAGTATTGTAAATTAGACTTACTGGGCATGATGATTTTGCAATATAAGATCACTTTATTAGCCATGTATTAGAAATTTGTCTTTTCGCAGACCCCAACTTGCTCTCCATAAGACACACAGACAGGGAGAGAAGCTTGGGGTCAGAGCGCAGGGTCAGCCATTTTATACAGCGCCCCTGGAGCAGCTGGGGTTAAGGGCCTTGCTCAGGGGCCCAACGGAGTAGGATTCCTCTGCCGGCCTCAGGATACAAACCAGCAACCTTCCAGCCACAGGCGCAGAGCCTCACCCACAGGGCCACCACACCACCCCTCTATATACCATATAGAGTTGTAATTCTTTATGTATAATTTTTGCATAAATAATATATGGATCATATTTCAGGCTTTTGAAACCATCCCAGCCACTGCTCAGAAAATAAGAGTGATACCTTGTAAAAGCACTGAGTTGTAGATGGACAGCTCCTGTTCACTTAAAATTGAAATGAATCAAGCACAAAGTGGCCAAAAGATGTGAATGCCAGTTTCCTGGTCAATTTCTACCTTTGAATGCAAGGAATTCCTAAAATGTCTAGGCACTTTTATTTTAATCCACTGATATTTTGATGAGAATGAGTAACGCACTTTCAAACAGATTTGATTTGGAAAATCATAATGCAGGGGCAACTTTTCTTTATATTTAATAAGAATTTGTAGAGTTTGGTTGTGTTTTCAATTATTCATTTTGACCATCAAAATTCATTAGCTTTCAGATTGTGGAGATCCATTGTACTGCTTCCCGTTGGTAGTAACATCTAAATATTGAGTGACCTGTGGTCAGTCTTCACTCTTCAAGCATATTCTAAGGCAGACATTCCTGTTACTGTATCTCAACATTTGCTGATGTGCTCATTTCGAAAGGACGTATTTAAATAACTAATTTTCTTAGCCGAAAAATATTCTTAAATGACAAGGACTGAAAGAATCAAGTGATGTCAGAAATGAATTATTTATTTTTCTTCGCACACACACACACAAAAAAGGAAAACTACTCAATTGCTTGGGTTTCATGTCACTTTAAAATAAGAACCAGTTTGCTGTTAGAACAAATAGCAAAAGCAAGGTTAAGGTATGACAAAGAACAGCCCAGTTTTTGTGAGGCATCCATGTTTGCAAAGACTGGGGAGAAAGTTGAGGTCTAAGACTAAGCTGTGTGTCTCCAGAATCATAGACATAAGCGAACCTTTTTAGTCTTGAAAGACTAGGAGGAGACCTGATACAAGTATTCAAAATCTTCAGAGGCAGTGAACCTTTTCAGAATGAACAATGAATCATGGGCAGGAGGACACAAGTGGAAAGTATGTGAAAGTTCATTTAAAACCCAAAACAGGGGGCACTTTTTTACCAGTGCGTTGTGGGAGTATGAAACAAGCCACCCAGCAATGTTATCAAAACCCATATCCTGGCTTCTTCGAAACTGCTTAATGAAAGCTTTGGATCAGTTAGCTACTAACTAGCAAATGGGTTAGATGGTGGTCTCCCCTCATTAACAACAGTTCTTATGGGGTGAGGAGTGGACTCTATTTGATATAGTACTTCTGAAAGGATTTTGTGTCTTGCTATTTTCAGTCAGTATTTAGAATAACACCAGCAGAATCCATATTATTCTTGTTGCTTCCAGCACTTTGACTGCTGAAAGTTGTTTTACTTATTTGTTATGTTTATGGTTGTATTAGAAAACAGTGTGAATTGCTCTAATTTTCACAGTTTATACTGCTCCATTTAATGCTTGTAAGTGTTTACATACCACAACATACCCCACAGTGTACTGTAGAAACAGACCTGAGATCAGACAAGCCAATTGGCTTCATATAAAGTACAGCAGCCCAAGTAATAAGTGAATCTCTCTCCACAGACTAATTAGCCAGATGCCCTACAAGGTGTGACATTTTCTAAGATATGAAAATATTCAATTTGTATATAATTTCCAAGGACTGCATCCTAGTGTGTCGTGCGATGGTGTCACATTACCATTTTTATAACAATTTTTATAACAGTGTTCTACTTAAAGTAAATGCTGTTAAATTTCAGTAGGTTACAGCAAAAGGCATCTTTCATTCTAGTACAGTATAGTTTACAGACTGAACACATTAATATGGATATCAAGTAGTTCTAGATTTCTTTTTTTATAAGCTGGATAAAGAAAGAAAAAAGGGAGATATGATTGTGGCCTTGCCAAGCCTTGAACTTTGTTAAAGGACATTATTCTTCCTCAAAAACTTTTTTTTAACTTTAAAAATGAAAAGATTTCCCCTGCATTAAGAGTTTCCAAATCAAGTCTGTCTTAAAGTACTTGTTTTCTTCTCATGAAAATATCAGTGGATTGAGCACATTAGTATGTATGTTAAGTAGTTCTAGGTTTCTTTATTTCTAAGCTGATTGAAGAAAAAAACATGACATGATATGATTGTGGAAGATGTGATATGATTGTGGCCCTTCTTACTCAAAACATGTTTTTGTATTTAACGTTTATAACACATATTTCAGGATTTTCTACGTGTCCCACGATTCGCAAGACTTAAAGATCTTCAGTTACATTGCGCGGGATGGAGCCAGCAACACTTTCAGATGCAACGTCTTCAAATCGAAGAAGAAGGTACAGAGATCTGCCAGCACTAAGTCAAATCTCTCATTTGCGTGTGGTTCACAGACTGAACGCTGAACATGGTAGTTCAGTCAGCTGTAAATATATGATGTTCCGCTTGAGAGAAGGGATGGACGTTGTGGAGCTTTTGTGGTTTGGCAACACTTGGCGACACTTTGCCAAGTCAACTATGTTGTTGGACTTGTTGTACAGAATCTACATTCTCTTATTCATTTGAGACAAGCTGTTGAAGATTGCACTGCTGTCTAGCTGCTGTTTAATCAGCTGTGTCTGTGTGAACAGCTGCTGCACTTTCTTCCCATTTTTACATGGATAGAAAACACCAAAGTACCCAGTTACCTGACCTTCCCATACTCTGTGATGGCCATGAGCCACAAATTGCCTGTTTGAGCCACAAATTGCATGTTTGTAGATTCCTGACAGTCAGCCCTTAGTGGCACCGAACGTTTTATTACTGTGTTAATAAAGCCAAGTAATATACAGATAACATAACAAAATCATTTTAATGCAATCATAATTTAAGTAATTAGTGAAAAGGTGTTCAGGTTTGTCACTTTTTTAAGTATGGTTCAGCAGTTAAACCTCAATAAAAGCAGACACCTCTGAACTGCAGTTTCAATGGAAATAAATGTTAGTGTTATTATTTCATTTAATTTCATTTAGATTCGTGTCTCAGTTTGAATTCAGGTGTTACTGTACAAGTGCAGGACTCCTAGACATTATAAGTTAGCTCGACTCTCCAGCAGCTGAAATAAAAATAAGAATGCCTTATTTGATTCCTCATTAACAGACCATGAGAAAGGAGCAGATTTGAGTGGAGAGGTACTGGTGCATTTCTATGTATTATTAGGTCTTAATCAGGAAGAAGAAAAAATTGGTATTTCATTGTATTTAAATTGGGAAAAGCGGAGGTTCAAAGAGGCTTTTTTAGATTAATGTCCAAATATGTCCACTGATTTCTGGAATAAGACCACCATAATAATAATAATATTGAACGGAAGCCACCAAATTGACTTTAAAACTTTTAAAATGTCTACCAGGTAACCAATTGTAGTTTACAGTAGTCTCTTGTTAGCTTTATCCTATACAACATAGCCTCAAGCAGGAGAGACTTAAATCTCTTCCACAGCAGTTTCTGGGATGCAAATTGGATAGAAATACTGACAACCAAGGGACACATCATTTAAAGGGGAACTCCAGTCCCTATTTCTCAAACCAGTTATTTAATCTTGGTAACAGAATAAGTTCATTGATATTATAGAAAAAAATGACAAATTTCTAATTAAGCACAAAATTGTTACCTTTATGAAAGTACTGTAAGTCACCATGTTCACGCAGCTCGCATTTGAGTTCCCACGAGTTCCCTTCCTGCTCACTAGTCACCATAATGGCTAGTGAAATGAGATGTATGAGCGTAAGAATACAGGTTGTGCGTCGGACATTTCACCCCAGAACTGTTCCAACATGATCTGCATGCAGAGTTAACAAGTACTGTAAGTAGTATTTGTCGGCAAAACCATCTCAAAGTCTGGAGCAATATTTCTATTGTATTCACTGGGGTGCTTGTTTACAATGTCATAGGGCCGCAACACGTCACCGGAAGCTTTGTTGCCTTGGTCTGAATCGCAGAACATGGCCCTGCGCACAACTGGAAATGTAGTCTATTTTGTGAAGTTACTGTGCATATTTTACCGTTATTGCAGTTTGAAATGCATTCATCAATGCTGCAGTCTTTCTAACCTCGAAATCTGAAACTAGAGTTTCAGTTTCCCTTTAAATAGACAGGCTCTGCTTCACTATTGTACAGTAGTACAGTCTTATTTTTTCTTTTAAGGCTGAGTGCCAGATCAAGATTTTGATGAAAGAAGACCACAAGAGGGCTATATAAAAGTACCTGAAGTTTACTTTACATAAACATAGCTAATCACTCCATTGGTCATTATATTACAATGCACTAAAAGCTGTGGAAAACAAGATACTACTAGAAATAGTGATTATATGTAAGTTGTAGACTGAGGTGCCCATTAGGTCTCACAACTCTTGGATGCTGGCCTTGATTCTGGACTGGCGCACACTCTGTGTCGAGGTTGAATATTTTTCTCCGAACTTCGAAAAGTGGATCGGCTAAGTAGGGCTGGGCGATATATCGAAAATGTGACGATTCCGACGTTAAGAATCTCTCACCGACCTTATTTTGCTTATGTTGGCATGTTTGGTAAAAGCTTTCCCCACTGTGTGTTTTCATGAGCGGTCCCCTTAAAAAAATTACAACACCCGGTCGTCATATCCAGTCACATGCTTCTGCCTCGTCCAACCATCGTTCTTCATTCAAAACACAAAGAAGCATGCCGGGTGTGAGACAACGGTTCATGCTGAACCCCAGTCAGGCAGGGATGACTCAAGTACAAATGAAGACGAGCTGGTATCTAAAGAAGATGCAGTGTTGATCATTTGGTCATATTTTGGCTTCAGCAAACCGGATACTGAACAAAGAAGTCAGATGTAAACTCTGTCGGAAAACCGTTTCTGTTTCTAGAAGTAACACGAGCAACTTGTTTCATCACTTGAAACACAACCATGTCGTGGAATACGAAGAGTGCATGGCCAAAAAAGAGAGAGACTGCCAAACACACTCATGGCTGAAGTGATTCCCCCAAAACAGCTGTCTCTAACACAAACATTTACTAATGCCACTCAACATGCAAAAGGTTTACGCAGATGTAACAAGACAGCTAACGCCATTACATACTACATAGTGAAGTACATGGTCCCCATAGTTACAGTGGAGCATAGTGGTTTCAAAAGACTCATTCAAGCCCTGGACAAGAGATACGTTGTGCCCCCAAGAAAATATTTTTCTCAAACTGTGGTGCCTGACATTTACTAAGTTTAATAGTTTCGCATATTTAAAACGTGATCTTTCAGCATATCATCTAATCATATAATTTCAAGGGTTTAAAAAAAAGAGTGAATTTATCGTTATTGAGGTAAATGTGGGAAATTATCGTGATATTGATTTGAGGTTATCTCGCCCAGCCCTACAGCAAAGTTAATTGGCATGTCTAAACTGTTCATACGTGCTTTGGTGTGTACGTGAACTGGCGTCCTGTCCAGCGTGGAGTCCCACCTTGCACCAGCTGCTTCTGAGAGAACTGGCATCCTATCCGAGAGCAAAGTGATCTGATAATGGATGTATGATAAATAATAGAACTATACACCGGGATAATAAATACAGAGTTTAAAGGAAAAAAAGCATTTTGCTGTGCTGTAAACCAAATAGTATATGAGTCCCAAAACTTGCACTATGCCCTAAGCCCTTCCTCCAAGTCCACACCTCTGTGACGTAGCGCAAGTTTGCTCAAGTATTTGAGGGGCATTGTTATAAAAATGGTAATGGGACCATTACCATTCATTCATGTTGAGCAGGCTCGACTCAAAACGGGCAAAGTAAACTAAGGAAGGTCTTTTTATTCAAAGCTTTGTACTACTGAATCCATTTTATATTGTCTGTCCCAGTACACAAATGATAGTACGGGGAACATAACGCAATCATTCATGTTCATTTTAAGTAAACTAAATAAGGTAAACTTGGCAATACCTCAAAGCTCTGTGCTATAAAATATGTGTACGATTAAATATTCCGTGTACAAAATACACCGCAGGTAAACAAATATTCATTAGTCCAAACGGGGTGACGAATTAAAAGCTTCATGTCACCGCTAGAATACATACAGTATGAATCTGAAGTAGCCTACTGAAATTTTATTTTTACAGAAAATTTGAGTTTTAAAACTGTAAAAATGTTCTATTTTATTTTATTTTCCATGGCAACTTCTCTCTGCTTTGACAGGCTAGAACATGAAATTTCACCATTCCGCAAAGAATTGGGGATGATTCCATGCGGAATGCGGACTCTAATGCGGGCTTCAGAGGAAGGCACTTTGAGGGCGCTTGTGAGCATCCTGGTGACACAAATTTAGAAATGGGACTTGAGCGGGAACACGAAAATGAGGGGCGCAAGCCTGCAAGTGGGGGTATCAGGACACGGCCTGAGTTTGAGGTCAGAGATCGAACACGGTCATACTCAGGCCGTCACTGCTTTTTGAAATGACCCTATAACTGCATGTTGTTTGTCTTGCCCTTAGACCCAGGCAATGCGCATTGTACGCACAGTGGGCCAGGCCTTCGAGGTGTGTCACAAGCTGAGCCTGCAGCACACGCAGCAGAGTGCGGACGGCGAGAGTGACAAGTCAGTGGAGGAGCAGCCAGCAGAGGGTGAGCAGGGACAGGTCGTGGAGCACAAAATGAGCCTCGTAATTAACCGCCCAACGCCATTAAAGACAACTACAGCACCGCCTAAAGCCAAAATGATGTTCATCGATTATTTTATCAAACACCGGGAACTGAAGTGATCATACATTAGGGAAAGCACACTATTAATGTGTGGAGCGGTGGCTCTGTGGCTAAGGATCTGCGTCTGTGGCTGGAAGGTTGCCGGTTCAAATCCTGCAGCCGGCAGAGGAATCCTACTCTGTTGGGCCCCTGAGCAAGGCCCTTAACCCCAGCTGCTCCAGGGGCGCTGTACAATGGCTGACCCTGCGCTCTGACCCCAAGCTTCTCTCACTGTCTGTCTGTGTCTCATGGAGAGCAAACTTGGGTATGCGAAAAGACAAATACCTAATGCAAGAAATTGTATAGGGCTAATAAAGTGATGTTACGTTATTTTAATTAAAAACTAAAATGATGCCAAAAAGCTGAGCAATTTGCTCATGATATATTCCATAACTTACATTGCTTTTAAAGACTTTGGTAGAGACCTGTGGCACTCAACAGCCCTAAGGGAATGTACACTGCTGTGTGCCAAGGTGACTAGAACAGATTGTTGGACAGCACGTTTGTGATCATAATCTGACCTGAAACGCAAATGGGAGACAGCGTGTCAGTGGCGTTGCTGTGTTGTGCAGGTCGCCAGTTAACGGGCGCTGAACAGGACGAGGTGGGGAAGTCTGAGGCTGATCCCGAAGCATCGGCACTGTGTGAGCAGGCTGTGAACGAGATCCTGCAGAGCCTCTCCGAGCTGGATGTAGTCAAGTCCTCTCACATCCATAAAGACACGAACTTTCAGGTAGGGGGTATTGTCCTCTCTTAAGTCTTAATTTACTGGATACCGCCTAAGAGGGTGGAAAATTTGGAATTTCTAAAAAAATCCTACAGCTGTTTCTGGAAAACGGAGTTTTCTGCTTGACGATTCAAATTTAAAGGGAAGCAACAGCTGTGATTCATCTAATAAAAAAAACTTAAATGGTCTGAATGGAAAAATGAAGCACAAAATTATGGATAAAAGAGTTAACAATTAATTCAGAGCAGTTTGAGCTACAGCTGTATATGATATTGTTGTATATAGCAGCAAATTGTTTGACCCTATAATAAAATTTACAGATCCAGTTTTTTTTTCTCTACATATTATAGAAGACTTAAGTAGGATAATTAATAAATAATTAAATATTCCAATAAGTACCAGTTTCTTTCCTGGCAGCCTTAGAGTTGTTTATTAACATGGGCCTATCATTACTAGATGTAACTAATTTTTCACTATAATTTTAAAAATAATTGATATTATTGCTTGTAATGTATTATAAGGACCTATCTTGGCCTTGGTTTTCCTTCATTGATACCAACTGCATCTGAAATGAGAGAATATCAGACCCCTTGAATGATGTGAGATATGTTTTTGGAGGACGTCTGCACATCCAATGGTGGTGTGCGTGTCGAAAAAGTGTTCAGATTCGTCTGTTTTGATTACCCACATCACAGTACAGTTAGTGCTTTGTATAAGACAGAGTAAAAACACTCTGGGAATGCTGGTGGCAGGAATCTTTTAGGTAATGATGTCTAGGTGCAGATCCTGTCTATTTAGGGGTGGAAGCACTTTAAAAGTGCTAGGCAAATGGAGGGAATTAATGTCAATATGATCATCATCTATCTACCATCAGACTGTAGCATCCATGCTATTGAGAAGAGGAGTATACTATCTCAGACTTAGTAATCCAAAGGCCAGTCTCAGGAAAGCTAGTATCCACTGCAGGCATGAGAGCCATTAAGAATTATTATAACAGCATGATAGCTCAGTGACAGCAGGCTGTACAATAGCATATACGGTACAAGCGCATCTGCATAAACACTTCAAGAGTAGTGTTTCATTATATACAACTTGTATATACAGGAGGAACCATGAAAGGGGTGCTTACTTCTGTGTAAGGGGGTCACACTGTTTGAAGGTGACAATACAGCCAAGTTGAGGCTTTTTTAATTGCAACATGATGTTATCTGAATGTCCGGGATAAAGTTATGCACATTTTGAGACCAGTGCACTACACGTTTACTACAGCAATAAAAACATCTTTAGAATGTAATTCCTCAGTCTTCTAATGTAAAAATGCCAGGTTCACTCAATGCCTTTCTTGTTCTGTGGGGAGGACTTGCATCATGCGCTAACCCACCTTATGCTTCAATAGTATTGCATAGTATAGAACTATAAGTTCAAGGAAGGTATTGTTGCCGCGTCAGCATGTGTAGGCTTCAGAGGAACAGGTTAAGCTTCGTATAGTTCCGTATAGTACGGGAGAAGCATATTGAATATCTGTTTAAATCTCCCCCTGAAGTCAGTGCTGTACACATTTAATGTACTGTAGTAACATTTACGTGTCCTGTGCGTGGTGTCCCGATCAGTCAATAGGCCTGATAGATTTAATGTACAGTACCTCTAAGGTCAAGTACCATACTGTATATGACTCATGACAAATAATGTAACTTTCAAAGCAACAGAACAAACCTAACCTTAATCCATTATACTGTACCTCATCTGGTATCCAGGGGATTGCATTCCTAAAGTTTTTCAGACTATTTACATTGTGTTCGATTTGCTTTCAAACTTTCAAATACTGTATAATAAGTGTGCCACCTTGGCCACAATGTGATTAAGCGCCTGTGGTTTGGAGCAGGTGAGGACAGGGCTGTTGGACTGAAGACACCAGGATCTAATGCTAAAGATGTGCTTTTGGAAGTCAAAAAAGGCTTCCTCACCAGTCCTTTAATCCCATTTTAGGGTTATATAAGTATGTGCACTTCAAAGATAGCCAAAGAAACCTGCACTAGGTACCGATGTCTCCATGGGAACGACCTAATCATCGTCATGGTTGTGGCAGTGTGATGATTTTCTCTATGCTGAGGGGGATGAGCATGCAACAGGAGAAGTGGAGAGGGTGCTAAAAAATTGATATATTTTTTTTTTTGCTTAACTCCCCTGAATTGAAAATGCCAGGAATGACTTCTAATAATTAAGGCTCTGCGCCCTTCATGTTTGACAGCACAAACGCACACCCCTCCCTTCACCCACATCCACCACTTCAATTAATTTTCATCAGCCGCAACAAGCTTGGGTCTCACAGGACACATTACAGGCCCGGCTTTGCATAATTATAACTTGCAGAAAAAAAATCCTTCCTGATATGTGGTTCTTTGGAAACTTTGGGTTTCCCACCTGCTAACTGAAGTTACATATAGTGAATTCAGGGAAAATTTATTTAGAGAAATTAATTCAGGGAAAATTAATCCTGAGGGTTTTCACTGTCTCTTTCCTCACTTATTGAGCATCCGTTTGTTTTTTTTTCAGTGACAAACGATGTACTTTTACTTTCTTCCCACAGGGAAAAGGTTTTGCTAACCGGAGAATAGCAGGCATAATTTAGATGTCATCCATCTGTTATTAGGAAGCGTCTTATTCTTGGTTAGGGTCTCAACACTCCAGAAGAAAAATCAATTGTTTATTTGCTCAACATTTTGCAACAGAATGCATTATAACAGTTAGGAATATTTTATAGACACCTTGTGGGCAAGGAGGAGTGGAAAAGAAAAACTTTTCAGACCCAGTGTTTGCCTCCACCCTCAGACCATGAGTTAGTGGCACATCAGACCTAATACAACATGAAGAATCTGCCAAGCTAAGGCTCAGAATCCTGCTGTCCTGGTTCTGTCATCAGGATTATCCTAGGGAAGCAGCTAAGGTTTCCAGTGGCTGCTATCTTGGGCCTAACATTTCACTAGACCCTGGGTTCTGACATCACAGATATCCTTGTTCTGTGATAGATGCCAGCAAAATCCAGACTGTAAATCCAGATGTAAATATGAGAAATTGGGATACAGTAACTGGGTGGAGGACCACAGTGTAAGGAAAATCAAATGAAATAACACAACCTAAACAATGGCAGCCCTATTAGTTTACAGGCTAAGAAAATCACACTTTTAAGAAACAGGTATTGGGCCTTGTTTTAAGACTTTTATAACTTAACTTGAGTTAAGACTGTTGGGCGATCTCTTATGTGTTTTAGGAGGTCATTACAAAATGTAGGAGCCCTGAAGATAAAGGTTCTGTCATCAGCAGTTATTGTGAAGATCTTGGGGTTACTGGCTAACTGCTATATTTTAATTTGGAGTGCTCTGCTTGGTGTGTATGTTGTTTGCGGGACAGTTAAATATGGGTGAACTAGACCTTTTACATCCTCTATTTAACTAAATGTTTGTGGATTTTTTTGGCATTTTCAACATGCAGAAGTCTGGCTATAGTACTTGCCGTTGTGTATCCCATTACAATAGTTTAGTCTGAATGTAACAAGAATGCAGGTGTTTACATGGACTTCAACATATTCCTCACAGTCAACAGTCTAAATTTTGATCGGAGGTCTGCCCTCTCCAAGAGGGAGTGTGGATTCAAACATGTTGAGTAGAAAATTTCTTTCATAATAGAGATAAAAAAATATCTCCCCCCCATCGGAAATTAAAATTGCATTTTCTCCTTACACAGCCAGTTGATTTGTTGTTATTTTCGAATCCCTTTTCTGCTTATCTCTACTAAAGAAATATTCTTCAATCCCATATGCTCAGCCTTATGTTGAATTGTAAGAGCTCAGAAGCCTGATTGTGTGCTGTGAATCACAACGGTAACAGATTTCTGGTGTCTGCTGAAAGGCATGGTGATGTATGAGGCCTTGTATCCTCGGTTTTTTACAGTGTCACTGAAGTAGATTTTTGTTTCAATCAGAAGGCCGGTTTCCAGATTGAATATATACACGACATTGATGAATTTGGGACATGATTATTTGTTGGAAATAATATCTGCAATATTTATAGTACAACAGCATTGTAAAACTTTACCCTAAAAGGGGGCAGTGTGGCAAAGCAGGTAGGCCTCGGGACCCATAACTGCTGGGTTAGGGGTTCAAGTCCCTGCTGCAGACACTGCTGATGTAATAATAATCAATAATTCCTTACATTTACTGTAGAGAGCGCTTTTCTGGACACTCCACTCAAAGTGCTTAACAGGTAATGGGGACTCCCCTCTACCAACACCAATTTGCAGCCCCATCTGGATGATGCAACGGCAGCCATGGTGCACCAATACTCACACAAGCTATCAGTGGGGAGGAAAACAGAGTAATGTAGCCAATTCATAGATGGGGATTATAAGGAGGCCATGGTTGGTAAGGGCCAATGGGAAATTTGGCTAGGATGCCGGGGTAACACCTCTACTCTTTTCGAGAAACACCCTGGGATTTTAATGACCCTGGGATTTTCAGGACCTCGATTTTACATCTCATCTGAAGGACGGCGCCTTTTTACAGTATAGTATACTGGGGCATTAGGACCCACACAGACCGCAGGGTGAGGGCCCCCTACTGGCCCCACTGACACTTCGTCCAGCAGCAACCTTAGTTTTTCCCAGGAGGTCTCCCATCCAAGTACAGGCCAGGCTCACTCCTGCTGAGCTTCAGTGGGCTGCCAATTGTGAGTTGCAGGGTGATATGGCTGCTGTACTTTGGATGAGGTACTTTCCCCTCCATTTCTCCAGTCCACCCTGTCTAAGTGGGGGCCAGAATGACTGGTGATAGGCATAGATCTCATCTCGTCCAGTGAAGAGTCACATGCTCTTGCTAAACGCTATGGAAACCAGAATCAGCTCTGACCTGATCAGCTATTTTGGCTCTTATGTGAAACCCTCCATCCTTCTCTGAAAAAGTTACAATTTCAGAAGTATATCTGTAAGCAAATCTATATTTGAAATCAATTTGC